AAACAGAGTAAAGTAAAAAAACATGGTCTTACATACTTCTAAAGTAACATATTAGTGAATTTGTTAGTAGAAAAATGCAAAATATATAAACCGTAAAGCAATAATTATTTATGTTGTCGTGATTTGCCAATCTTATAATCAAGAACAACATTATATATATATATATATATATATATATATATATATATATATATATATATATATATATATATATATATATATATATATATATATTATTTTTAATGAGTTCTTTAATGAAATCTTTAGAAAACTAAAAAATCAAACCTTTGTGATTGTGATTTGATCTGCTAGTTTACTGTTCCTTACGAAAATACCAATACAGTTTGTTCTTTTGCTTGTATAGTTCTATTTGTTTTTCATTATTATTTTCACATTAGGACATCGACAAAGAGCATCTACTGTCTTTATGTGTACAAGCACATAAATATCTGTAGGTCATAAAATATCTATAGGTAAGATTTAAATCGTACATAACTATTATAAAATACATGCAAGCAAAAAATATTATTATTACAATTGTCAACCCGTAGTTTGTTAGGTATTCACATGTTTAATTGTACGCAACCAAAACATCGTCAAATTATATCGTCATATTTGTAAACATCAGTAACAGTCATCATTGAGATAACCATTTACCTTATTCATGGACACAACTGCTTTGCGTGCTTATTCAGTTAATTGTTTTTTAAATTCCACTCCAGTTGACAGCGGAAGACAATAAGGGCGAAGGCTTTAAGTATAAGGCGATTGCAATATCGCAAGTCATTTGTCATCTCAGCGTGATGAAGTCAGCAAGGGGTCATAGTTAAGGTCAGATCTTTTTTATATTTTTTATTTTTAATATTTTGAGTAGTCGACATTTACAATAAATTTACAATATTATAACATAAAATTAAAAAATAATTAGGAATTAAGGCATTTAAAATTAAATAAATGCAAACCCTATACAGTTTCCATGAATGAACATTGCAGTAGAAAGTTCACAGAAATATTTTAACCACAAACTAATTAGTAGTAAACAGATATAAGTACTTACTATATATTTACTTAATTCAAATTTAAGCGAATCTCACAGCAAAGTTAATATTTCAGTTAGCCTTTGAATGTTGAAGCGCTACTCTTCGCTACTATTTTTCACTAAACAAAATATTACTTGCATATAAACACACTGCCTTCTTAAAAGAAGTCCAGTTCCAGATAATTCTAACAATACTTTTATAATAGAAAACATTTTATTTAGCTTATTTGCTTACCTAAGTATATAACTAATACTGACCTGATTAAAACACTAAAAGAATAATATGGTCAAACAAAAAATTATTGTTTCAGAGGAAAGGTAAGCATATTTTATATCCATTTTTAGAAAAAAAAATCGCTTTACAAATACCTATAGGTAAGTACTTTATTTATAAAGTGTTTTTTTTTTTCTAAATATATTGCTTCATTATGAAGATATACCTAAAAAAAAGCATTATAATAGCGAAATGAAGGTGGTAACCCTGTTTAACAATGAGAATAATGAGATTTTCTTACTACCGAGTGTGAGTAGAACTACTGAGGCAGGCGTCCTGGCCATGGACGTCAATTCACTTAAGGGGAGTCGATCATGCCTCCGCTTGCTACTAAAAGCTACTAAAAGCCCTCCATAAAAGCAATAATTAAATTGGCGTAACGCAATTTAGTAAAGCGATGCTGTCAAAGGTACTTGGATGTAATAGGTCTCTCCTAATGCTCCTTTAAATTTTAAATGCTCCTTTGTAAATGCATATCAATTTCTACTCGCACCTTTGCAATGCAATATAAATAAATGCAATATATCTAATGAATAATTCCAATTTTTAATAAAATAAATACATAATTATGTAACCCTTACACCTATCATATATAAATACGAGTATACCTAATTAAAACCTCTTCTTGTTAGACACTAATATTATGTAAACATTTAACTTGTAAAAAGGAAATTTTACAATAGATATTTACTTATTATTTCTTTCACTTACCTATGTATTTAATTACATAGACGAATACGAATGTCAATAAATGTAGATACCGGGAGAGACCTAGATTAACCTATTATAACTAGATAGATCGTATTCCTTCTGAAGGTAGAGTCACGACTCGCCGGAACCGGCGTGCATGCATGATATGTGTTTTGAAAGTGCCGGAAGCAATAAATATATAAGAAGATAATAAAATATGTTAGAAGTCGTAGACATTCGGTTCTTTTCGTCTACCACGCTAGGAACATGGCGTAAATATAGATGTAACAGACAAATAAAGTATAACCTATCCTAAACATAGTAAAAGTACGCATGTAAATAAGTTAAAAAATATTGCTTCGCTAGCTTTCTAGAAATATGCACTTTATCATGATACTATTAAACCCTCAACTTGATTAAACTAACATATTGTAAACCTTAGACTACAATAACAATAAAACAATAAAACTCACTCTTACTTAGATACCATATTTAGATACGTATACGATCATACGTACCTATATCCCATTGTATATGAAAACCGGCTGCATTCTAGACGGTAGGTCGCCAAGACGCCAATTAAATTTTATTTCCCTTTCATGATTATATTTCTGCTTTTGATACCCTTTCTTCATGGAAGCCTACCACTTCAAAAGGTCGCTTCATTCAAAAATATAGGATGAACTTCGCAAAAATATTTCTATACACATTAATTTCACAAACTATTATACAGGAAATTCATCTTTACGGCTTCACAAATGATTGTTAATTGTAATATACACATATATACACTATATATATATATATATATATATATATATATACACACACACAACTGATCGGTTGATTCTTTAGATTTTTATTTATGAACCGATTGAAATGAAACAAACACTAAAGTGAAAACAGCGTTTAAATCGGTTAAGCCGTTTCTGAGATCAGCGTGCACAAACGTACAAACTGACAAAAATTCCAAAAAACATTGTTTTGGGTTCTATTGCATTCGTAAACCCCCCCTATAATAGTTTTTTCTTATATATCTTCTATGTACAGACAAAGATCAGTTACGATTTTGTTATATGTATTGATTGATGATGAAGACTGATGACAAACATCATACGATTATCAGCTACTGTAAACTTTGGTCAAATCATGTAATAAGTAGAACTGAGCTGGGAGCTGATTACCATTATTTTCATCCTAAATAAATGTGCTGTCTTATTTTATTATAATCAGTTGTTTATATCGTGTGATCTCATTATATTATTCCAATCCTTCTTGTATTTTAACTTCATCATTATCATAATTTCAGCCATTATCCGTTCAGTGCTAGACGTAGGCCTCCCCATTAACTGCCATGAGGAATGCTCCTGAGCCACCTGTATCCACTGACTCCCTGCAATGCACTTAACGTCGTCATTCCATCTAGTGAGAGGTCATCCTTCACTGAGTTTGCCCTTGCGGGGCGGCACTCAAGTACCTTTCTTCCGCATCGGTTGTTGGTTCTTCGAGCTATGTCACCAGCCCATTGCCACTTCAGCTTGCTTATCCTTCGGGCTATAATGGTTATTTTGGTTCTTTTGTAGATATCCTTATTTCGGATTCTATCACGCGAGGAAACTCCAAGTCCAAGGTTCCATAAGTCATCATTAGCAACACGCACTGGTTAAAAGCTTGATCTTCAAATTTTGAGGTATTCTGGATGAAAAGATGTGGTTTTCTGAACGATACCCAGCCGAGTGAGATTTGTCGGTTGACCTTTCGATTGAAATTGAATTTACCTATTCGCACAACTTGTCCCATGTATATATATACCATGTATACTCATCGACAACTTTGAGCGCAGTGTTCTCAATCGTAACCGATATAGGTGTGACAAGGACCGTAGACACGATTTTAGTCTTGTCCATGTTCATCTTAAGACCTACCAGTTGAGAAGCACCATTCAGGTTATTTAGTATTCAAATCTTCCAGGGATTTTGTTATAATTACTATGTCATCGGCAAATCGAAGGTGAGTATTGTATTTACCATTAATGTTTATACCACACCTTTTCAAGTCCAAAAGTTTGAAAACATCTTCCAGTGCAGCTGTCAAGAGTTTTCGGGATATTACGTTACCCTGTCTTATATTTTTCTGCTCTGAAATGAGTTTCGTACTCTGGTTCTGTACTTGGTCATATCATAGCCTTACTGTACATATATTTCAACACTTCTATATATCTAAACCCAATCTGGCAGCGCTGGAGGAACTATAATAGTACCGCCCATGTATCGACCGAATCAAAGGTTTTTTCATAATCCACAAACGCCAGCCATAGGGGGAAAGAGATTATTAGCAATGAGATCTAATTGCACCATTGCTAGCAATATAGGGCATATTGCTAGCAATGGTGCAATTAGATCAGGGCAATCCCTCCGAGTTCCACCTGTAAACCACCGTGATTGATTTATTATTGAATTTGTCACAATGGGCTAACTGACCTACTTCAGCTTCACCTATCATCCTTCACTGGTGCCCCGCCAACGTATACCGTTAGTGCAGGCGAGGTTACCTTTCCATTCTTATCCATTAAAAAAAATGCCAGTCATAGTGACAGATTATACACTTCGGTCTTCTGTATAATCAGCCGTAGCGTATGTTGTATGGTGGTATGGTGTTAAAGCCCTTTCAGAAGCCAGCTTGTTCGGGTGACTAGAAGACAGAGGAGAGTAAAAGCGGGAAACAGTGTTAACGGTGCACTGCTCTCGATTATGTCAAGTAAAAATGTATCGGTCGCCTTCTGTATAATCAGCCGTAAATGCTGTACAGATGAGAGCTATGTGTGGTATTACTTTAAAAGATTGTATGGTGGTATGGTGGAGAGGATTAAAGCCGAGCAAGAATGAATTTCGGAAGCAAGATTGATGAATGTGGAAGAAGCTTGTTCGGGTGACTAGAAGTCGATTAATATAATATTTTAACTTATTATTAATTATATAATCAGTAATAAAATTGTTTGAAGCACAAAGCAAAAATTCTATTAATAGTCGATATTAAATTAATATAAATTTGTACACTACTGTCATGTCAATGTCGTACTGTAATATAGGTATCAATTACCAATGCTATGTCAGTCATGAAGATCAGATAGTATGACTTTGTTCCTTTGCCTTTCCATTATGAATAACTTGATAAATATTACCATTGTCAGTCAATCAGTGACAGTTTGTCACTGTCAGTCAGACTCGTGTTTATTTTGTATTATAATGCAATTTACTGCAATTATTGCATTAGCCGCCAACTATTTAATTTTGGTTTTTGAGATATTAGTTATTTTTATTTGAGACTTATTTTGTAGCTTGTATTTTGGTTTCCAACTTAAATTAAAATTTCAAGCAAAGTTGGAAATACAGAATTATAATACACAAAGTTGTATAATTTACTAAGATATTAAAATTATACTAAACATATCGTAAATTTGGAATGATTTATTTTATCGTTTTGTTAAATAAACCTGTTAAGTAATGTAGTAGCTAAATTAACTATTATTATAATGCATACATGTGCCGCCAGTTCAAAGCACCACACAAGGTCAACTGACAAAAGAAACCAAGGTAATGATTTCATCAAATTCAAGTGTTAGTTTAATATTGGATATACATTTGTTTTGTAGTGGATTGCTACTGTCTAGTTTTTTAATACTTTGTATTTTCAGATATATGCATCGGCTCTGGATTGCACCAAAATGACAACTCTGAGCAATATTTTCGAGAATGATCAAATGCAAATAATTACTTCAGAGTTCACTAGACTAGGAGGTAAGTTTTTGTCAGTAATTATGAAATTTAATAAATGATGACTTATTTATATGCATTTGTTATGTTATTGTTATTGTCTTATACATAAACTTATATTTGCGAAGTATATAATATACACAACTAATATCCACAACACACATTTCAATTGAAATTACTGGATATATATTATAGTGAATAATCTGTTATCAGGTACTTATTTTTTTATGCAACTTAGAATGGCAAACAAGCTGATGACCCACCTGATGGAAAGTGGTAACTGTAGCCTATAGAGATAAGCTGTACCATAGACGTAACAGAGTATACTCTTACGCTCATGACACCCCCCATGTGTTGCCATTCCTGAGGACTCAGGTGTTATTCCTCTGTACCCTGAAAATTCACTGCCATATCCCACCCTTCGAACTGAAACACAGCCATGCAAACACAACTGCTTCATGGTAGAAACAAATGGGACAGAAGCAAATGATTTTTGTACAAAGTCTCCCTCTGGTAAAACTAGGTACTTATTACTTCTGCATGCCCATTGTTATAATAACAATTCTTCCACCTCTATGAAAACTAGTTACTTATGCAAAGTCAGGGGCAGTAATTAACAACATACTTAATTTTCATATGATGTACTTGCAATGTCTGTCTTTATCATTACCCTGAAATAATCATGACCTAAGGGGGTAAAGGATACAGTTTATTATAAAGTACTCTTTTAAAGTGATGATACTAGTCTCTCTACTGATGCCTAATTGTGAAACATGTACAAGGTTATAATGCCTATAATTAATGGAAATAAAATTACAGGATATTATGGCTAATAATTAATATTAATATCTTTTACAAATGCCAATGCATGTAATATATTCATATCTGGACTAATTATTTTTACTCTTGTCAAGATTTAACTGCAATTTAAAATATTTTAAGAGTCATGAAATAAGGCTTTATTTATTTATAATGTTACTTTTCTAATTACAGAAAGATGTTATTTGGATAATGCTGGTGCTACATTATATCCTCAGTGTTTACTTAAAAATATAAATGAAGACCTCCTTAATAATGTTTATATAAACCCGCATAGTGATAAGTATACACAAGATTGCATAGAACAAATCAGGTATCACATCTTATCCCATTTTAACACTGATTCTTCTACTTATTCTGTTGTGTTCACATCAGGTACTACACAGTCATTGAAGCTAGTTGGAGAGTCTTTTCAGTTTGCCCCTGATGAAAATGAAGTACTAAATTGTGGATCACTTGTTTATTTGAGAGATAATCATACATCAGTCGTAGGACTGAGAGAGATAGCTGCAGAAAAGAATGTGGACATTATACACATATCACATGAGGACTTCTTGAAAGCCTTAGATCCAACAAAAGTTTCTCTTCCAACAAATGGGAGGGAGAAATATAAAAATGAGGGTAACACATTACTTGTATACCCAGCACAAAGTAACTTTAACGGTTATAAGTATCCTATAAATTGTATGGATATTATAAAAAAAGGATGTCTCAATCAATACATAAAGAAACAGTTATGTAAAATCAATTGCAGTTGGTATGTATTGTTGGATGCTGCATGTTATGTATCAACAAGTAAATTAGATTTATCAGTAGTGCAACCTGACTTTGTGTGCTTATCGTTTTATAAAGTATTTGGATATCCTACTGGCCTAGGAGCATTACTTATAAAAAATAGCAGTGCAAATGTTCTAAACCAAAAGAAATATTTTGGAGGTGGAACTGTTGATATTGTTTTAAGTAGTGAAGATTTTCATGTAAAAAGAAAAATTCTTCATGAGAGGTGTGTACTATTTTTTTTTTTGTGAAATAGGTAGGTTTAGGTAGTTATTTAAAACAAGTTGAAGCAATTAAAAAGTTATTTGCATATATATTGGAAATGACTACACATTAAAACTGGTAGGTAACTTAGTACATAATTGAAAAGATAAAACTTTATTAGTTTTTTTTTTATACCTACTCAGCCTTTATGAATACTGTTAAATAAAGAATAATAAGCATATAAGACAGAAACCAAAGAAAGAATGGTGTTCTAAAATTAGACTGTTAATTTATTATATTTACTTAAGATTATTAGAAAATAAGAAATATATACTGTTAGATAATTAGTCACTGGTTGACAGATCACTAAAATGATAGAAAAACAATGTCTAAATACCTACTTACCTTGTTACTGAATTGGTTTCAGATTTGAAGATGGAACCTTACCTTTTTTATCAATCATAGCTCTAAAGCATTGTTTTGATGCACTGACCAAGTTAATACCGAAAATTATAAACAATGACATAATGGATACTATATCACATCATACTTATAGTTTAGCCAAGGATCTTTATCATCAGCTTGGGAAACTTCATCACGAGAATGGGAACAAAGCAGTAATTACATATATGGATACTGATTTCACTGATATTAGCAAACAAGGTGCTATCGTCACATTCAATCTGTTAAGAGAAGATGGCACATATATTGGTTATTCAGAGGTTATTATCTTCTCAGTTGTTGTGCAATAAAAATATAATGATAATTGTAATCCCGGGTAGGATTTTAAATGTAATAGTTGACATGTCCATGTTTAGTCATGTATATTTTAATCTAATGTGGCTTAAGATGCCAAGTCAAACAAGCTAGCTATCATTTGTCACTAAATCAATGTGGTTTGCTGACGATATCGTCCAAATCCATCTATCAGGTGAAACTAAATATTTTATATTAAACAGACAAGTCAGTTTTAAATTGATACTGACTGATTTTAACCCATAATATTTGCATGTTGTAACTGATATTAGATCTCACACCCATTATTTGTATTACAAATATCTCTAACATTTCCTTAAAGAAATTTTCATTTCAGTTTCAACACATGGCAGACCTATTCAATATAAGTATAAGAACTGGCTGTTTTTGTAATTCGGGCTCTTGTCAACGTCATCTGAATGCAAGCAATAAAGAAATGAAGGATATGTATAACGCAGGACACAAGTGTGGCGACGATGTTGACTTAATTGACGGTAAACCAACTGGTGCAATACGAGTATCATTTGGCTACTATAATACATTCAATGACGTTGATAAATTAATAGTAATGATTTGCCGCTGTTTCGTCAGAACTAAATATAATAAACCGAAACGTACGATGAATGATTTCATCAAACTAAAATCTCTAAAATATGCAAAAAATATATCTAGTGAGGAAAATCACAAAATTAATGAGGAAGAGTTTTTTGAAGAAAAATATTCTACTATACAACAACCTCTAATAAAATCTGATATTGTGCTTAGTCAAATATCTCTTTTCCCAATTAAGTCATGTGGTGCCTTCAAAATAAATACTTCCTGGAAAATAGGGTCGAAAGGGTTCGAATACGACAGAGAATGGATGATCATCAAAGACAATGGAGTTTGTCTAACTCAAAAACAAAATACACGTATGTGTATGATTCGACCTAAAATTGATTTAAAACGCAAAGTAATGATTCTGTATTTTAAAGGTATTTTGTTTTTTTTACTTGATTAAAGTAATGACTGCATTAGGGATTATAGTCCAAAGAATATTTACATTTTTATTATAATAGAGACAAAGTCACTTTGTTTGTTGTCTTTCTAAATATATCACTGAACTGAAGACGTGTATTGGCCCCCCTCTAATTACTGTATTTTTATTCTGCTGTCTTTATAGATTTTTCATTTCCATTTTTATTTCTATAGCTCTCAATATGAAAAAAATACATACATTAATTTTTTCTTTAGTATACACTTATCTAAATACCCACATGCACCTTTTTATTTAATAAGATCATGCTTTATATTTTCAGGTCTAGCCCCAATATCAGTACCTTTGAACCCATTGGAAAACAAGCATAAAGAGGTTACAATTTGTCAGAGTAAAGTTTGCACGGACCTGGTAAAAGGTTATGATTGTGGAGATGAAGTTGCTAATTGGATTTCAAATGCTTTAGAAATATCATTTCTTAGATTAGTTAAACAAGCCAGCCATGATGGTAGAGTACAGAAGACAAATACAGACGAAGACAAGAAGCTACTTTCACTGAGTAATCAAGCACAATTCTTATTAATAAACAAAGCCACTGTGAGGTGGCTGAATGATAAGATACAAGAACCTCTATTTATGGAAGATATTGAACAGTTAACAGACCGTTTCAGAGGTAATCTAATAATAAATATGGATGAAGAATTAGTAGAAAGGGATTGGCAGAGAGTTATAATTGGAAAACATGAATTTAGGGTATGTATAACTTAAAATGTTTGCTAGATCTAATCCAAATTTTTTCTTTGAGTCAATCACATGTCTAACTTAGTGATCAAACAAAACAATTATTGAAAATTTTATACACCTATAATTGGGAAATTATTATTTGTTAATTCATATAATGTGAAACATCAATTCTCATGTTTTAAAAATCCTGTGCAATAAGATATTTCTACTATAAACAATTGTACCAACTCTCATAAAAATAACAAATGTTTCTGTGTAAAAACAAAAAGTCAGAAAATTACCTAAAACTATCTAGTTAATAGGTGTACTATTTTACAATATTGTAGTGTGCTACGGAAATTATAGATGCTGGAATTCCACATTTAATTTTAAATATTGCAGGTTGATGGGCAATGCCCTCGATGTCAAATGGTATGTATAGATCAACAAACTGGCGAGAAAACAGTAGAACCACTTCGAACTATTTCTGAACAATTTGCAGGGAAAATGCGTTTTGGGATTTACTTGAGTTATATGGGCCCTATTGATGGATCTAGGGAGCATATGTTGAAGATAAATGCACCAGTTAAACCTATCATCAATGATGAGGATATTAGTAGGTAAACTAAATAGTGTTTTAAAAGTAAGCAGTTTCTGGATTTAATTTTTGCTTAATTAGTTGGTAACGTAGATTTCATACTCAACTTTTATGACAATGTTTTAATTAATTGAATAAAAATTAACAGATTTGAAAATTACTTTTAATAAACAAATCAATTTATTTTTTTAATTCTTTATACAGAAACTGGAAATTACTTTGCATTATTATTATAGTTGGCACCAATTAGTTTTGGTTTTGTAACATACACATACTACTAAGACTGATAAATATTGTTTAGAAAATTGTTACACATTGTATACATTGTTACTTGTACCCACTATTGGAATTTCATAGAATAGTGAATAAACACCACCACCAGGTATATATTAACATACATAATGAAATGCAATCAATATTTATATTGTTGTCTAAAAAAACTCCCAATGTGCATAAGTGTATAATTTATAAAGCTGAGAATGTTCCAATTAATTCTACAAATAATCAAAAATTCTTCAACCATAATTCTAGATATTCTATATATAAATACTTGTTGTCATGGGCTCCAACAAGAGGGTGAAAGGGGGTTAACTTCCTTCGGAAATAAATATTTGAATCAAAACTTAAGGAATCCGAGTTGCCCTTCCAAATTATACATCTATGCACCAAACATACATGTATAATTTAACTATTATTTCTATTTTGTTAGTTAATATTATAAATAATAGTATAATGTGTTGATACAGATGCACCTTCGTGAAAGTAACATTGGCGGCGTCCATGTTTATTATATTATACTATATATATAATGTGTCTATAGTAACTGAATAGTTACTATAAAAATATTAGTCATAAGCTATATAACATTTAGTATAAAAAAAGTATCTTCAACTATTATCTAATTTGTATGAACAATCAATAAAATTATTTGTAATTTTATTTTAATTATACAATTAATAAGTATAGTCCACAGTGTGTAACTTATTAATTTTGTTATAAATGCTAGTGTACTAGATAGTGATGCTAATTATTGCATACAAAACTCTCGTATGCACATAATTGATGCATATTACATTCCACTTGGACATAGAATATCACCAAATAATAAATTATAAATATATGAGGGTTTATGTAATGTATTTTTAGGGATTTATACAAAAAATGGAAAGGTATCCTTTTGTACAATTTTTTCCATTCATCTGTCATAGTATTGTACCTGAGCTACTAATACTATTGATTAGAAATTTGGCATAGTTTTATATTGTCGACTCACACATATTGCAATTGAAAAAATAATAATATTTTCTTTGCTAGAGGGCCCAAAAGGGGTACTAAAAATTTTTAAAATGACTTACTTTTTTAATTTACCAAATGATTTATTTATTTTTATGCTATATAGTTTTAGTTAAGAAGATTTTTATTTCATACATAGGTATGAAGCTCTTGGCAATATATATTTAATTAAATAGATATCCAGAATATATTGATATGTATGGAGTATGCATGTGTTAATTCCTTTATGCACATGTACATATTATGACGAATTTATTTAAAACTATTCTCCACTATAAAGATAGCAATGAATGAAGTGGCAAAGAAAAAACAAGGTTCATTTTAGAATATAAATATATATTTATGGAGTGTGCTTAATCTAGTATAGATTAATCACATAGTATGTATTTAAAACAAAGAAAATAATTCTATACTATAAAATATTATATAAGAGTATCTGAAAGTGCTTAGTTAAAACTTTTAATAAATACATAATTATATACTTTTTAGGTAATGTCATGCAATACCTAAGTGAAAAATAACTTAAGTAGATATAACACCGTTAGATTTAAAGTTATCATATATAATATATATATATATATATATACAAAATGGCCTTATAGAATTCACTGTGATATTCTTAGTTATATTTTAATCATTTATGCTGTCAGTTATAATGATAGCACTGTTATATATATACTATAATTAGGATTAGACTAAAACTTATACCAATACAATTTCCAATAAGTTTCAATACTTAACAGCAGAAATGTAATGCATTGAGTATTTTGTTATATAGGTATCACTATTAATGTTAGTTTAAAAATTATATATTTATTGACTTTCAACAGAATTTAATTAATAACAATAAAAGGGCAATATTTTTTAAAACAAAACAGACTAGTTCCATAAATCTATAACATTTATTAACCAGAGAATGATAGAAATGTTATTACTGTGATGAAATGATAAACAAAAATGAAATGTGATCTTGCCAGAAATAACAAAACTATATTTATTTAAAAAAAATATATAATTATTGATTTTGTTACTATAAATAAGATAAAACTATAATTCTTATTGTTACTGTTAATAAGTGTAAATTTAGACAAGTTACTATCTTGGTTGTTATAGTATAAATATATGTTAAACTATTGCACAGTTTATTGGCTGTTGTCCTTTTATTTCCCTTGGTTCACTACCTTGAGATACATCCTGTACTACCTGTGCTACCTCCTCATAATCTGGTATGGCCATAGTCTGCATTTTGGAATATATGAGTTTATCATTAACTGTTATTTCAAAAGATCCTGCAACAATATTGATATATTGTTTTTATATTTTATATATTGTTCACTTGGATCCTTCTATGTATTTCACTCGGAGCTGGTCATCTATGCACAATAATAAACTTAAATAACCTACTACTAAATAGCAGAATAGTGGTGCTTATTATTGAAAAAAAATATTTTGGGTTCCAAAGAAAATATTTAAAGGCAATGGCAGTTTTTTGCTCAAGGAAACAGTGGTTCAGAAAGATATGAACCAATTAAAAGGCAGTTACTTAATTCTCAGTAACATTACTAGTAAATAAATATTTTTTTAAAAGTTAGATTTCAAGTAACTGCAATTGAAGTTATGTAATGAAAAATCCAGACATACCCTGCCGACCACGCTTACAATACACTACAGCATTAGGAGTGCTTTCTCGAATAGTTTTTGCAAGTGCAACACAATGACCCCCATAATCACAGACTCCACTAAAAAAGTTATAAATATTAGATAAATGTAAAAAAAATGAATTCACAAAACCCGCAAATTAAATTATGTATTTAAACTTAAAGAATAGATCATACCAATATTCAACATTTACTCTAATCACTTTTTTATCGGAGTCATTGACCGACATCATAATATGGCTTAAATTATATCATTATTAACCACTTACTAATATGCTGAAAAATGATAAAATACAATAATAATTTATATAAACTACAATATAAACATTGTTACTATAGTAGAAGTGTCAGCTGTGAATGTCAACATTGTCCACGACATGAATTTGATCAGCTGACAAGATTACCAGATACAATTTTATAATTTGCCCAAATGACAAATCTAATTTCCAAAATCGATACAATTTTGTACACTTTTATCCAATCACTAACTTATGTATTTTTATTAAGCGATACTGCGATATTAAAATGCTTTCTTAATTTACTTATGATAATATATATACATATACATACATACATATATATATATATATATATGTATATATATATATATGTGTATATATATATATATATATATACTTTAAAAAATTACTTAAAAATGAAAAATTTATTGAGATCACTGCCAACTAATAGAATTGCTGCATTTTCACGCTGAATAGCTATGGAAATGCGTTGACCAAAGTATAGACCAGTCTTTTGGTCGCCAGAGATTTCCACCAGTCGGTATGATAACTCTTTGAAAGGATTCACCCTACGGGCTCAGAGTCTCAACTGCAAACGCGGCAAATATATATTTATTTCTGTTGGCGACAGACCTCCTTTCATACAAGTTTACCTTTTTTAGATTTATATTTTTATATTATGAATATGTCTTTTGATAATTATTTTGTTTTTCTATTTGATTGACATATTATTGTTATTTGTATGAAGTGTGTACGTCTAAGAAAATATATTGGTAAGCCTCTCTCTATATTATTATTTTATTATTGTCGCTGCCCTCCTCTCCTACCAGCGCCGTTTTCATTGGTCCTTCTCCCGGTAAAATTATTAGATATATATTTAAAAAAAATTCGAAATTATAAAAATTTTTTCAAATGGTTCTCATAAGAGGTATGGCAGCGGCACAAAGCGCCCCAGCGGATTTAATCGTTCCTCCTTCAGAGGTATCCGCCGGCGTTTCTCATAATATTAATATTCCTAGTTCGCGTTATAGTCCACATCGCTCATCAACCTCTATTCAAACGCAACGACTTGCCGCGAAAGCATTACATGCACGTCGCTTAGCCGAATTAGAGGCCGATCTTGACCGCGCCGCAACTGAGCGGGAACGCGCTGCAGCTGAGCGGGAACGCGCTGCAGCTGAGCGGGAGCGTATTGTAGCGACTCTAGAACTAGAGGCTAAATTAGCGGCTATTGATGAGGCCGCCAGTACACACTCACAATCATCTAGAAACTCTAGACTAGAAAAATTGGTGACCTACACTAACAATTCTTTCTCTGAGAGACAGGTCAACTTGGTGCTGGCCACAGAACGCGAGCCCGTGGTCTCGCCTGGCGTTTGTGCCACCGGTATGGCTGGTGTCGCAACGCGCGAGCACGTGCCCTCTTTCGCGCCTGTTCAGTCGGCATTGGAGGCGCATACGGTACTGAAATTGGCCGAGCGCGCGCATGAATACTCGCCCGGCACCGCCGGCGTATCAGCCGCGGTGCGCGAGTGTGCGCCTGTTACCGCGCCGGCCCTGACTACCCTTGAAATCTTCAAATGTCCACGGCATGACATCCTCTCAGCACTACGGCTATGGAACGCAGCAGCCAGATCGTGATGCTGTTATTCCTCTTCTGGCTCTATCGCAAGACCCGGAGGAGATCATGGCGGCTCTGCAGGAGCAGTTTGGTCAGCCTGAACTTCTGATACGCTACCTAGTATCACAAGTGAAAGGCATACCCAAGCTGCTTGCATCTGATGGTGGCAAGGAACTACATCAGTTAGCTTGTATGGTACGCAATTGTGTCCAGACCATAAAAATGTTAGATTCCGTAGAGTTCCTCGCCTCCCCAGAATTGTTTCATAGTGTGCTCCTTAAATTGACTCCACTGATGCGTGAGAAATGGGTTGACTATGCTTTCGCTCACGCCGACACTGGTTCTCGGTTTAAATTGGAACTACTTTCGAATTTTCTCACACATCAATCTCGAGTTCATTTAAGGTTTGGCATTATCGATGACACCCCGCGTCTTAAGCCTATAGATAAGGTTCGTTCGCATGTCACGACTAATGTTGGGTCTAATGGTGTCAACGATGATGTATGCTATGCTACTTCTTCGAGCTCAACAAGTTGCTATTCAAAGGGTAAAGTAGCGCCATCTAGCATTAGCTCTGAAAAGTCTCCCCCCATTGCAACTTGTCTATATTGTCAAAAAACAGGACACGAAATAGACAAGTGTGACCTGTTTAAAGTTCTTACTGTAAACGATAGATGGCATTGGGCTAAAAATAATAAAGTTTGCCAAAAATGTTTAAGACGCGGTGGGCATTTTTATAGGGGCTGCAAAGGCAGTTGCAAAATAATAGATTGCAAGAGTAGAAATTTTCATCACGAGTTGCTTCATAGACAATCTACTCGTACTAATTCTGTCCATTACAGTTCGACACCACCAGAAGATGAAGATAATGCAGTGGGAGAACTTACCTCGGTGACTGTGGCGCACGCTCATAGCTGTACTGCGAAGCTTCATGAGCCGCCATCTTTGCGGCATTCATTCCTGAAAATGATTCCTGTTACAGTGTCAGGACCAAAGGGTGAGATGGATATTTACGCCTTATTAGACGATGGATCCACTGTAACCCTAATTGATCAAAGTATAGCTGACACAGTAGGTACACAAGGACCGAAAGGATCGATCAGAGTGAATTGTATGGGAGGTCTCGTGAAAGATTCTGTAGTAACCTACATTGACATCACTATTAAGGGTAAGTATTCCGCAGAGACCTTTAAATTAGAACAGGTTCGCTCCATTCCTAATCTAGGTATAACATGCCAAACTGTCCGTACTGTTGACCTTGCAAAGTTCCCTCATCTTCAGGATCTGGTTAAAGAACTGTGTTACGAGGAAGCCAAGCCAATGTTAATAATTGGTATTGATAATTGGCATTTGTCATTACCGCTTGGTATCAGACGCGGTGCTCGTAACCAACCTGTGGCAATCCAAACTGCACTGGGGTGGACAGTCTTCGGAAGATTTCCGGGAAAGCTATCCGAGTTTGTTCATCACAGCTCAATTTCTGACCTGGAGTCGTTGATAAAAGAGCACTACCGTCTTGATTCAATAGGAGTTACAAAAAAAGATCTCCATAGCAAGAACGATGAGCGAGCTTTAGCAATCTTAGAGGAAACTACTCGGCGTCTTCCTTCAGGTAGGTTTGAAACCGGCTTGCTGTGGCGACCTGATATTGTTTCTGTTCCAAACAGCTATAAGTTAGCCCTGTCTAGATTCCTCAGCTTAGAGAGAAAATTTAAGAAAGACGAAAGTTATGCTGAGGCTTACCGAAATTACATTAATGCGATGCTACAGAAAGATTACGCAGAACGCTGCACAAATACGACTCCTGCAGGAAATTTATGGTACCTGCCTCACTTTGGTGTATATCATCCTCAAAAGAAAAAATTGAGGCTTGTCCATGATGCCGCAGCTAAAAGTTCCGGGGTCAGCCTAAACTCTCTTTTGCTCCCTGGTCCTGATCTCTTACAGCCTTTACTGGGAATTTTAATGCGTTTTAGGGAAGGCAAGATAGCTCTTAATGGAGATATTCGCGAAATGTTTCCACAGACTAAAATAAGAGAACAGGACAGAGATGCACAACGTTTTCTTTGGCGAACGAAGCCATCTTTACCTATAGAAGAGTATAGAATGTCTTCTATGATTTTCGGAGCTACCTCCAGTCCATGCACTGCCATTTTTCTAAAAAATAAAAATGCTTTGGAATATAGAACTAATTACCCTGAGGCGACAGAGGCTATTATCAGGGATCACTATATGGACGATTTTCTTGGAAGTGTAGACAATCTAGAAAATGCCGCTCGTCTGGCTGCAGATATCGTCACCGTGCATAAAGCGGCTTGCCTGGAGATGCGTTCGTGGGTATCTAATGACCCTAGAGCGCTCGCTCTATTAAGTCCGGACTTGAGGGCTGCCGACACTTCTGAGATAGGGCTCGGGCCAATGTCTCCCTTCCAGGTTAGAATCTTAGGAGTGGCATGGAATATCAAAGAAGACACTCTCAATTTTAGAAAGACCTCTGATCTTCCAACTAATTTAACAAAAAGGGTGGTCCTATCTCATCTCATGAAAGTTTATGATCCTCTTGGTTTTTTAATGCCTGCTGTTATCGCTGGTCGCATTCTCTTTCAAGAGACGTGGAGAATGGGAATTGGTTGGGACGAGGAACTTCCCGCTCTTGCGAAAGCAAAATGGCAGACTTGGTTTGCAAGCTTAGCAAAAATTTCAACAGAAGTCACAATACCGCGTTACTACCAAACCAAGCCTGCTATAGAAAGCCAACTTCACATTTTAGCAGACTCAAGTGAGTTAGCCTACGCCTGCGTAGCGTTTTGGCGTTTTATTCGGGAGGACGGGACGGTTCATCTCTCTCTCGTAGGTGGAAAGGCGCGCTTAGCTCCATTAAAACCGGTATCTATCCCACGGCTGGAGCTACAGGCGGCACTCATAGCTACTAGATTCGCAACATATATTTTGGAAGCACACCGTATCGTCACATCGAAAATTTTCTTTTGGACAGACTCTCTAACAGTTTTAAAATGGTTGCGTAGTGACGCGCGGACTTTTAAACCGTTTGTAGCTCACCGTGTTGGGGAGATATTGGAAACTACAGATGTAGCTGATTGGCACTATGTACCAACGGCACTGAATGTAGCGGACGATGCTACACGCGGGCAGTGTACTCTCTCTTCGACCTCCCGTTGGTACACTGGTCCAGATTTTCTTCATGGCCCTCCAGAACAATGGCCGCGCGAGCCAGCAATTGGTTCCCCACCGGTACTCGAGGAGTTAAAACCAGAGCATGCGCTAACATTTCTATTAACTGAAGAACCGACAGTTCCATCCCCGGTAATTGCAAATCCTAATCGTTTTGATCGATGGATTCGGTTAGTTAGGGCAACTGCTCGTGCACATCATTGTGCCAAGATCTTTCGGTCTTTATTAGAAAAACTTCCAAATTCAAAATCAAAAAAGGTCGCCTCCGAGGTTTCTTCTAAAATTATGAAACCCCTTTCGGCCAAGGAAATCTTGGAGGCTGAAAGGCACCTTCTTTTATATTCACAACTGAAGTCGTTCAATCACGAATTCTTACGTCTTACAGCAGGTCTTTCCTCAACTAATCAAGGAAAACTTAAAAACCTAACCTTGATGTTGGGAGAGGATGGTTTAATTCGCTTAAACGGAAGAATTCGGGCAATTTTAGATGCTCCCACGCAGGAAGTTAACCCAATTGTCTTGGACGGTCGACATTTAATAATACGACTATTTCTCGATTACTACCATCGAAAGTTTGGTCACAGTAACACTGAAACTGTCGTCAACTTCCTGCGTGGTAGATATTACATAATAGCACTACGCTCTAGTATTAGGTCTGTTGCTAAACGTTGCTGTTTTTGCAGAGTTAGAAAACTTCTCCCGTCTGTGCCACAATTTGGTGATCTACCCAGCGACAGGTTATCACATCATCAGCGCCCGTTCTCTTTCACCGGTCTTGATTATTTTGGTCCAGTGGAGGTTACTATTGGGCGCAGGCGGGAAAAACGCTGGGTAGCTTTATTTACGTGCCTCACCACCCGAGCTGTCCACCTGGAAATCGTGGCAAGCCTTTCAGCAGATGCCGCCATCATGGCTCTTAGAAGATTCATTGCCCGTCGAGGATGTCCTTCAAAAATTATCTCTGATAACGGTACGGCCTTTGTCGGTGCAGCGAATCAACTTGCTCAGGTGTTCGATTTTGCAGCCAATAACAAAATTGAGTGGACATTCATTTGCCCGGCGGCTCCATCAATGGGTGGTTCTTGGGAACGTCTAGTCAGATCTATCAAGAACGCCATTTCCGTAACCCTGCTGCAGCAGGCACCGAAGGAAGAAGTGTTGTCAACTTTACTACTGGAAGCAGAGGCCCTAGTAAACTCACGTCCACTTACGCACGTCCCTGTGGACCCTGAGACACTACAGGCTCTTACGCCGTTTCATTTTCTGTTGGGTACACCGTCAACTGAAGCCGTTCGCCCTTGCACCGATGCAGACTTGTACCGTCGCCTCAACCATAAAAGGGTTCTCAGATTGGCCGAGATTTTTTGGGCCAGATGGCTCCGAGAATACCTTCCGACGCTCATCCCCAGAAAAGCCGGGTTTACGCAATCTGCCGCTAATGTAGGCGATCCGGTACTAATAGCAGATCAAAATCTACCAAGAGGAACCTGGCCTAGAGACCGAATATCGAAGGTTTTCCCTGGCCCAGATGGAGTGGTTCGGGTGGTCGAAATTACTACCAATAAAGGGCTCTTAAAAAGACCCATCAGAAAAGTAGTGCCATTGCTTTTGTCGCCTCCTTAGATTGGTGCTCTGCACCGGGGCGTGCCATGTTGGCGACAGACCTCCTTTCATACAAGTTTACCTTTTTTAGATTTATATTTTTATATTATGAATATGTCTTTTGATACTTATTTTGTTTTTCTATTTGAGTGACATATTATTGTTATTTGTATGAAGTGTGTACGTCTAAGAAAATATATTGGTAAGCCTCTCTCTATATTATTATTTTATTATTGTCGCTGCCCTCCTCTCCTACCAGCGCCGTTTTCAATTTCCAAGGGATGAATATTTACGGCGCTTGATAATCTCCTGGTGTGGTGTTGCAGCGGCACCAGCCCTAATGGATGTACTTGAAAGATGAGACGGCGCTACCGTATCAACGTAGGTGAAATCCCAAACAAGCGGATACCCGTCTCAAGGTACTAAGAACATGCTGTCAAATTTCTTGCCGTCGTCACGTATCAAACTAAGAAGTTCTAGAATGACAGGTACGCCAACAATAACAAGGTCGATAATTCGACGGAGAATATCATTAATAGCTGAATGGCGCAGCACGCGCCATTCAGCTATTAATGAGCTATTATTATTATAATTTTTAAGGCAAGAGAGGCCATAGTGTCCTAAGGCACTAACGTTGTACTCACACCTGCAGAAGTAGGGAGCATTCGATTTGACTCCCAATCTGAGAGAGATTGAAAATCTAAACATTGCGTCATTCAATAATGTTCAGATATATCGGAATTGTGTGTAACCATAACTTATGTTAACTTTCACTACGTTTTTTGATGGAAAGACAAAAAAACGGCGTTCTTATTTCTTTTACCTCCTTTATTATTTAAATTATTTTATTGTACTTATTTATTGTAATAGGGTTTAAATATCAAGACTGTTAGAAAACATTACCCAAATTGGCAATGCTGTCAGTTAAGACCTAAAAACAAAAGACACACACATTCCTGTGGGTGTCGTAAAAGGCGAATAAAAAAACTTGTGTCGAATCAAGTCAAATATTAACTCAACTACTCAGGCTCAAGTCAGTATTTAATTATATATGCCTATGAAGAAAAAATATAGTAATTAGAGTTATTACTTTTAATGGTTTATCCTGGTCTTTTTCATAATAAAATTCTAACAGAGTTGTTATATTTATTATAAAATCATAAAGATTGAAGGCTGAATGAACTTGATTTCCTTTGTCTATCCTTTTCGAAACGCTTGAAAAGAGAGAAAAAATAAGTTTGACTTTGACGTTTGTTTGTATTCTATAGTTTTACTTTTATTATTGATTTTAAAATTTGTATTGTTTTGCCTTAACATACATATAATAAAACTATAGTTTTAGCTACCAAAGTACCAAATAATTATTTCAGTAATCCATACGAATCCATTTATTATTGCTGATACTTTATGAATATATAGCGAATTGTATATATTCGACTTAACCACTGAGCAGATGTATTATTAGTGAACTATTAGCCATTTATAATAATAAATAATGGATTACGATTATCTTATAAAACTTTTATGTGTTGGTGATTCTGGTGTAGGAAAAACCAGTTTCCTTTACAAGTACACGGATGGAGTATTTCACACTCAGTTTATTTCTACAGTTGGAATTGATTTTAGAGAAAAAACCGTGGTAAGAGCCTCTTAGAAACCAAAGTTTATACACAAATATGTTTTATAAGATTTATTTAAACCAATGCCATAAATTATCCAGATTGATGTTTTCACTGTGGCTCAACACAGTTACTGTAATTTGTCACCTTAATGTCTTTATTATTTTGTCTGTGTGACTTAATGACATTAAATATACTCAAAATTTGTGTTTCATATTAAATTAAAAATAATTTCTTATTTTAGATCTATCAACAAAATGGAAGACAACACAGAATACATTTGCAACTGTGGGATACAGCAGGACAAGAACGGTTATATCATATTATTTTTTAATTTTTGAAAATTCAAATAATATAAAATTACATTGAGATGTTATAACTTTATAATTACAGATTCCGAAGTTTAACTACAGCTTTTTATAGAGATGCAATGGGTTTCCTTTTGCTTTTTGACCTCACCAATGAAGCATCATTTCTTGAAGTTAGAAATTGGATTGAACAGCTTAAGGTTAGAATAGAACAATAATTATTACAATGGAAACAATTAAAATCATTATATACTTATACTTTCACAAGATTATTTGATCTTAATGAATGTTTTTAATGCTAATTGTTCACATGGATAAAAAAAGAATAAGAAAATTATGAAATAATAGTAGTTGATTTTTAAATCATAATATTTAATAATGGATTTGATTTTGCTGTGCTATATCTCTAGAACTATAGGTCTATAAAATTAATCGTACACAATAATAACTACATAATTATATAAATCTATAAAGTTAAAATAATAAGTTAAGATGTATACCTTAACATATAAATTCCTTTTTATTATTTTGTGAAATTACTATTAAATAGACAATAATAAACTTCATCTATAATAATCTTGACTTAAATATATTAGAGATTTAGTTTATTTATATTGAGAATAAAGATTCTATCATATTATCAAATTGAAATTTGAATTTTAGAGATAAATTTAAAGAAATGGTGTCCTAGAATTGCCCTAAATGTAAGAATATTTATTTAGGAGATAATAAATATACATTTTATTTATTCAGTAGCCTTTACCTATTGATATTACAATTGCACAAAAATTAAAATATTACATTATTGACAATTCGATACATTCAATTATATTATTAATTAATGCATTAACAATATTATATTATATGTAATAAAATTTCAATGATTCATGCTTTTATTATTTGTTCTGTCAGTATGTCTTGTACCATAGGCCTCTTCCAACCTTTCTCTTTCTCCAAACATACATTACTTAATCATAAATCTCAAAATTTTCCAGACTCACAGTTTAACTGATGACCCTGATATTGTCCTGTGTGGTCACAAATGTGATCTTCAAGAAAAGCGACTAGTAAATCAGAATAGAGCAAGGGAATTTGCCAAAAATTATAATTTGCCCTATTTGGAGACAAGTGCCAAAAGTGGACAGAACATAGACCGTGCTATAGAAATACTGCTGGACAAAGTTATGTTCAGGTATGTAATAAATATTACTTAAACAAAAATTTTTTTCTAAATATTTTTGTATAGTAACATGCCATATGACCACACCATTCTAGTAAGCAAGATACTTGCTTACTATTACCATGTTAGTGTGGTTGATGTGTTATTTTGAATTTTCACTAGTGTATTGTGCTATGTTTACTTATGAGGATGAAAAATGATGTTAACAAATTATTATGGTAAACATATATTTTATCTATGTCACTCCTTAGAACTGACTCATACTTTTTACATGAGAATTAGTGCTGTTATGACAGTACTGTATTTAATTTTATTTTTCCAATGGCAGTAGCAGATCAGTATCAGCGTAGATCAATATCCATAGAGTTTGAAGGCAGTAACTGACCTAATTGATTTACGTTGTCATCATACCCAAACTAATTCGAAATAAAGACTACATAATGTTTAACATTAATTAATATTTACTTAAGGGCATCACAGAAAGCATTGCTATAACTTTTTAATTTTTTTTTCATTTTACAGAATGGAAACATCTGTGGAGTATGCAATGCTTTGTGCATCGGGACGACGTCGTCAATCGTTGCAGAAACTACAGGCAAAACAAGACAGGAAACTTTGTACTTGCTAGTATTACCTATATAACTGTGATTTATATTTTCTAATATTCTATTTTTTGTGTATCTGATCTCAGTATAAATTTTCGATAGTTATAAATTAAGTAAGTTTAAAGAGCTATTTCACAGTTTGGTAATAAACATCCCCATGGTCCATGTGATTTACAGATAATATATAAATTTATTTAAAAAATAAAGGTAACAAATACCTATAAGATAGATGTTGTTTACCTTTTGAATTCGTAAATAAGTGCACAATTCAGTCTGTTCATTTTCATAAGAGATTTTTTAAGAGCAGTTTTATACTGTTAATTATTACGTAACTATTCAATTATTGTTCAAGAAAATATACCTTAAAAAAATATCTTAACTTAGAAGCTACAAACCATATTATTGGCAACAATTGAACTAAAATAAAATCGATTTTGTAATTTCAGTCGTAGAATAATTAGTTTGACTGGTATTGAAGTGTTACCTTTGTACGGTACTCTAAATTATATACCAACGATTAGTATTATGAGCTTCGTAGTATACGTTATTAAGTAAGCAGTCAGGGAGTTTATCAGAAAGCAGTGAAACTAGTTTTAACATTATAAGTTTAATAAATATGGAATTTGGAACCAAATTAACCCACACAGGGCGACACTATAAGAGACTGATATTTAATTTCATTATGTTTACATTGCTCATTGATTTTTGTTTTACGTTTGCCTGTATTAACGGATGAATGGGTCAACTAATTTGTTAATCTAGTCAAAAAAATATTTTGTTTATTAAAAAAAATATATAGATATTTTTGTTTGGTATATTATTGACAGTGATACAAATATGCGTGGTTTATGGTTAGGCGAAGTTTAGCGCGGAGTTTAGATTAGGGTACAAGGTTGATAATGGATTAAGGAAATGGATTATATTTTTCTTATGGTTAGATTATTATCACAAGTGTTTAATTAAATTTGTACAGTCGTGTTATCAAAACAGAAGTGTATTAGTTTTAAGTTTCATTCTTAAACAATTTAAAAAGTAATCTAGTCAATTGCGTAATCAATGTTGGACAGTGATAAGAAAGTTTCCCGCTTCTAAAGTTTGTAATGAAGCACCCAAAATTTGTCAGCTCTCTTATAAACGCACCACATTACACAATTTATTCACGTCACAGTCATTTAATATCTGTCACGTACGCTTTTTGTACTGTGATTACTGCCTTACTAATCTATTAGGCAATGCGGAGTTCTTTGTTTCTTCCGCGGGTTTATATGATAAAAATATCTGTTCCTTACCTAAAGTACAGGGTACATAATTCTAGTCATGTGATGAGATTAGTTATTGAGTTTATATTTTTGCTAATTGATTTATACCTTTCGATTTCAAAGTAAGTTTTTGTATTAACGTCTTCAAAGTTAAATAATTTTTTTTTCCGGCTGGAAAATAGAATCGGCCTATCCTATTCATAGCCGGTAAGTCTATTTTAATGTAATGTGGAAAATAAAATGCGATTAAAATAAAAATATGACTTTTTACTATATTGTGATGTTTTAATTGTGTATTTTGTATTTCAAATGCAAAGATTCTAATGGTACGAGCTTTTCAAGTAGTAGTTTACATCTTGAGGTCGTTAACAGTCTTATTCTTATTTTAATCGCATTTTAGAAATTGATTGCAACTAATCAAGGCCCCCATATACGTATTAAACAAAATTAATATTGTTAGGTAAATACAAAGTGTACATATTATATAAAAAATACACTTTAAACATCGGTAATGGCAACATTCAACAACAACATAACGAGTTACAAAGGCATAACATATTAATCCTAAGAAAAGGCAACACTTAAGAGGTACTATAAATGACAGTGTATTCAATAACGTTTGTTGCTTTCTAAAAACACTATCTCGTTATTGAAATGAAAAGGACTACGTCAACTATTTTATTAATATAAATTTAATTTTTCTTAAATATTTTCCATATACAGTTATAAGTGAGATCAGTAATGTAAGCTTCTAAATGAGGAATAAGAGCGCTTGCCGTAAGAATAGCAACATCTGCATCACGTGTATAATTTAGAGTTAATTGGCTCAACATCAATACTCGTACAATTTCAAGTACAGAACTATATCTTCGTTTCAGTGCTTTGATCGAACATGTTATATATATACTAACAAATGTACGAAAAAGAAAAATGCATCTATTCGTCAGAATTAGGCCAAACATTTTATTAGTCAAAATTTGTAATATAAGGTTCAAAATTACTATAAACTATAGCTGTATGAAGTTATCGCAAGTATTATATAATCAGGTATGTGTGTGTGTGTGTATTCACTGTGCACAAAAAATATTTCTATATTTTATTAACGTAGTATGTGTGACTATTGCAAATAAGTAATTATAGAGTATATTTATTACAAATTATATAATAATTTATTTTAGTTGATTACCTAAAAGAAATTTTGCCTTTTACCTCCTTCTGCCAAATTGTTACGATATTAATATTTATGTTATAAGACTATTTGTAATAATGACCCGTAAAAGTGAGATTTTTACATAGACTAAATAAATATACCATGACTTTACAAGACGTCTGTTGACGAACAGCGAAATCTTTACCTACATAGACGTATCTCTTAAAGATTATGGCTTGAGTTAGGAGTTGCTAGCTATGCTATTATTAAAGATAGTTATTATTCTTAAAATCCGTATGATGAAATATTTTTTTTTTATTTATGCATATTTTTAATTAAGGTGGTTAATCACTAAGCAAAATTGGACACGAAATATTAAATGGTCCTGCAATCAAGGCTTGTGGTTTTTGGAAAATAATCAATTTGTTATTAAAGATAATTTGCAACGAAATTTTTGAATAAGTGATTGGATTTTTTTTTTCGATATAGTTTAGATTCTTCTTTTCTTGTACAACTTTGTAAAAAACACATGGCAACATACACGTATGTGTACCTTTCTAGTGAGAAACATTACCATGGTGTGATCTATAATTCATTCAGAAAAGATCGCGTATCGTCTGTCATTTCACATTCATACATACCTAATAATAAAAACCACAAGTCTCGATTCTAGCGCTTTTTAGTATTTTGAATCCAATTTCGTTTAGTGATCAACTAACTTAATACCACCATCATTCCTATTCTTATTTGTAATTAGTAAATACTAATAAAAAGAGTAAGTTAATCGCTACATGTATTGAGCTTTAAGGAAAGGAACTTGACATACTTTAGTAAACAGTCTTGAATATCTTTTTTTTAAAATTGCTTTTATAAATAAGACACAAAATGATCCAACTGATTAAATATTGTGTTAATTTATCATTATGAATTATTGACTAACATTATTCTTACTACTTATTTATTTTATATATTCTTTGTATGTTTAATTTTTTATGAATTAATAATGATTAAGTTATAATAAGTACTATACAAGATTGTTTACTAAATTACCAAGTATAAAAAAAGCCTTGAATGTAAATATGCGTGGTTTATAATAAAGTGTATATACCGATAAAAACCGGCTTTGGTATCGAAAATAAATTGATCTCAAATTAATATTGAATTTCTAGTCTAAATCTTTGTGCCTGATTGCTTATATCACGTTTGGCTATATAAGAAATGATTCCGTATTAGTTTATATTGGATTGATTTTTATTAGATATAATTAAAACCCTTCTTATTTTTTACAAAATGTTTATATTAACATATACTGCGAATATATTATATCACATACGTGACGTATTATGTTACATATAATTTTAATCATAGATATGTAGGTATTTAGATATCTATGATTTTAATTAAATTATAAACAAATTCAATAAGACTAAACATTGAATGTAGGAATATAAAATACAAAAGGGAAAGTAGAAACCAAAATGGAGAATACGATACAAAATAGCAAAGTATAAATTTATTTATTATGAATTATATTTTCTAAATAATTTTTAACTTTTTATAAAATACAATTTAATTTTAGGTAATAATTTTATACACCTACTTACCTAATTTTATACTTGGGTGGATAAAAATCCACTGTAGCCCACTGCTCAATATTTTTTTATGAAATATTCGTTTTCTGAACGTTTTGTTCATATTTTTACTTTCTATATAAGTATTTTAAACAAAGAAACTTATTATTATGTAATATTTTCATATAAACTTTAATACATTTTCATATTAATATACAGTAAATTTTAACTTTTAAAAAATGTCATATCATTCCAAGTGCCCCTGGATTCCCGTTTATAAAAGTGTTATCGTAGCTTTGTTGCATTTACATTATACAAAAATATTAAACTAATAAAAGTAAGTATATATATTCATGAAACTGAATAACTGCACAAAGAATTCGTGCTGATTTTTCGAAAATTTCTTTTTATATTTCATGCTCACTTAACGTGTGATCGCAGCGTGGCTTATATGTAAATTTAAAAAACTGTGAAACTAGTACATTTGTTCTCGCTTGTCTATAAAGATTATTTTCGAAAATGTTTAATGTTTTTGGAAAAAGTTATTCGGTTTAACAAATACTATCATTGTGTTTTGGATTATTGTATCCTTTCAATTATACTGTGTAATATAAAAAATGGTAATCATATTTAAGAAATTTTATATTAACTTTAAGATTGATTCCAATTGTCTATAAAAATGGGATAAACACAATTTTTATCTCTTTGTATATTAACAATATTTTTAAAAGTAAATATTGATAAAATTTTTTAATTATAATCAATATAAACATTGTTATAATAGGTACAGATTTAGACCATAAACAAAAAATCTGTATGTTTATAAACGTCATTTGCTAGAGAAACTTCTTATGACGATAACAATATGAATTAATTGCATTGTATGTATTTTTATCTGAGCCTACTGTACCTAAGTAAATAAGAATTAAAAATTTTGTGATAATTTGGCTTAAAAATAAAATATTTATGAAGGTAATACCTAATCTATTTAAATTAAAAGGTAGACATTTAAAACGTTATCATTGACCAAACTGCCATTTATATATGAAGTGTGTCAATTTGTGAACAATTATATGTGAAAGTATTCTGTGCATTAAAGTGGAATTATAAGAATTTAAATTATTTAAATGTTTTACATTCCATCTATTTACCTAGTTAGATAGGCAGATTGATAGAGAGATTGCACGGAGATTATTTTTTCTCTCATAGTTTGAAATTTAACGAGCATATTCTAAATACACACGTGCTTGTATATAGATGTTCATTAAATTAGGCACGCACATAAACAACAGTCTGTAACAGTTTCTCGGTCCATCTGTCAAGTGGTGGCTGTGGATGGGCTAAACAGAAATACGCTGCATGGGTCAACCTTCGTCCGGATAGATCGTTGGTCTCCGCAAGACAATTGGAAGTAGATAACTGGATACTAAAAGATCAGGAATGTATCAGGTATAATTTGAGTGTTACGAGTTGAAATTGAGTTTTCATTTGAAAACACTCCAACAAGTAATAGAAAAATATTCGTAAATATGTAACAACTGGGATAATTTATCCATATTGTTGAGAAATATTGAGAAATATTTAGATTATGCCCGAAAACCCTTTTCTTGACTGTTGGCATTGATTGATCGTCTCTGACTTTTTTTTAGGTTGCCCACTAATTCGCGTCTGCTAACCCCACGAAAACTGAAATTTTAATTTTACGCCAACACGGTCCCTGGTTACCGGTCTGATGTTACCTACCTGTCATAATAATTTTTTTAATTTTATCCGACTGCCAAAGAAAGAAAGGTAATATTGTTTTTGTATATAGATATTTATACATTCACTTATACATATACTTAAATTAGGTGGCGTTTAAGATGATACACAATACCTATATCGCTATTATATATATTTACTAATATACATGTCGTAAGTTATTGCCTACTGGTGTACGCATGAATTTTAAAATTATGAAAATCAATGAAAAATACCTCTTCTAAATGATGTATCAAGATGAAGCATTAGCAGATTTTAAGTTAGACTTTCAGGAACAAGTATAAAAATCGCATTCAATTGGTGCAGTAATTTTTGTGTGATGCTGAAAGAAATAGGCAAAATATTTGAAAAAAAAAAAAAATGTTTGGCGTATATTGGTCTTATTAAGATCCTTTAACATCTCTCATGTACAGACATCGTCTAGTTACAATTTTCTTATATTAGATAATATATATTATTTATAATACTCTATTTTTGATAGCGTTCAACATATTGCAATATATGGCATTGGTGATATTTGTTACTAGTTGTTTGCTAAGTATAAAATATCCAGTATGTTAAGTTAGGACATAAACTACCTGTGTATCAAATACAATTGAAAACCGGTCGGCTGTTTAATCGATTGAGTAACAAACATTCAAATATATTTATTTACAAATTTTCACATTTATAGTATTAGTAGGATTATTAAATATCAGACCAGTTTTAATTTTATTTATCTTTCTATTTGTTTATTAATAAATTTATGTAGTAATTTACACTATAAAAGGCAAATTTATTACTGTATAACAGTCATGTCAACCATAGATAAAATTACAGTAAATACCTATAACTGGTATACTTATTAGAACTACGATTAATTATTATTTAGGATCGTTTTTGCTTTCTATACATTTTTATTTAAATATATCCAAATGATGTCTAAATATTTTAGATCAGTATCATATGAATGCTATTGACATTTACGGGAATGCGAAATACATAGTTGAAATAGCAGCCACGAGTAGAATATTAGAGCTTCCGCAGATGATTATTCTCAGTGTTCTTTCAACTATGTAGGGACTAACAAATGCGATTATTGCAACAAGGAAGAATTGAATTTGAATTATTATTATTTCAGTCGTTAACTGCTTACTGCAGTGGACATTAGCTTTCTCTATAAGGGTAGTTAATTTTTAATAGATGAATATAAAATGGCAACTCTGCGCTTGCCGTATACTCTGGCAGGGGTACTGGTGAGGAATCACAGATGAGAATGAAGCCAGGTCAGTTAGCCCATCATGACAAATTCGTCAAGTATTAACTACGTTGGTTTTCAGGAGAATCGCATGGAGGTTGACGTCATAGCGTACATTGCTAGCAATGGAGCCTCTAGTCCCCATTACTAACAATCCCTGCTTCTTCCAGGATATTTATATTAGCCTATTCGATTTTTTTCTTATTTTGCTGATATGTTGTGCATTGTTCTCGTAGATCGCCTGTCGCAAAATTCTGGGAATGAAAATGTGATATATTGTATTCTTACTTTACCTATTACATATATTTTTTTCTTATGATATTTGATAGAAAATGACAAAGTTATAAAAATATACTTACTAGTTTTTATCGCGAATTCGTCTGTATGAACGGGATGTGTTGATTGATTGGGTTAAACTTGTGCCTGACATGATTTTATTTAGATTACAGAAAACACTGTTATGCTCATGGTATACTTCATGCAGCATGTAACCATTCCCGAGAACTCAGTTATTATGCCTCCGTACTCTGCAATTTTATTACTATGTTTCACCCTTCACAACCATTTAACGCCTCGGTATCAGATCAACATCCCAATCGTAATTAGCCAATGACTAGAGGGAAGGTGATGTGCTATGAATTACAATTAATCTTTGATCCACAGTTAGTCGTTAAGAAGATCCACAGTTAGTAGTGAGTGTAAGCTCTTCGGGACGAATAGTGTGATACGAATAATAGACTTTCTAAGGATGATGTACCACCTTACATGCAAATTGTTTAACAGTTAGGTAAATCATATAGAAATCTAATTATATAATTATTTAATAATTATATATTTAATTTATATAATTATTCCCAGGACGAAAGCATATGCTTTCGTCCTGGAAAGTAAAGATATTGAGAACTCTTTAATCACGGGCAGTTAGCTGACAATGTTTCAAATAATTATTTCGCATAAAGATTTATTTTTCAATTATAGTTTTTTATTACATAGTTGTCTATTTTTATATTGTTTGTATATCCCGGCTAATTTCGATATAATATTAAACAATATATTATTCTTATAAGAAATGTCAGTATATTTAATAATAAATTATGCCTATATACCATATTTCCGCCTCTATCCGAATCAGTTTAGGTCTAGGTCTTTTGCGCTTTTGGTACGTAGGGATCTAAGATGACAAAAATCTACCTAATATTGTTATACAAACAAAGTATCTCTGTTAATATTAATACTCAATTAACTTAATTATGTATTTCATAATTTTATACAGCGAATATACTTAGGTATGTATCTATATGGTATTTGAAACTAGATACGAGGGGTGAGTTCACAAACTCTGCAATCTCTCTGCCCCCTCTTTACACACGTGATGCGCACGGGTGCAGCATTTATAAATCCATTCAATCTATTTTAATCTCAATTGCTTAGTAATAAAGTTGCAAGTTACTTCACATGTTACTGATAAGCTACATTAGGGTACGGATATCCTTTCCAGATGGACTCTGTTGTCAGGAAGTAGTGTCCAAATTGGCCCGATCCGAGAATCGCATCGTTGAACCCCATAGCGCAGTCGCGGAAGCTCCATACGTC